TGGTCTGGAGGTTCTTAGAGATCCCGGGTTTTCCCCCGCCTTTCCATCCTAGCCCACACCCACAGCAGACCCAAGGCCTGGAAGCCGTGGGGCGGGCCGCACTTCTTTCCCACGTTAAGGCCTCAGTTTCGCCGACTCGGGAACAGAGCAGTGGGCTCAGCGCCTTACTTTGGGTCTGGCTGAAGTCAAGCGGGAGGAGCGGAGCGACGTTCGCTCTGCTCCCTCGTCTGAATTCTCCGGCTCGCAACGGCTCTCTCCGCAGGCCCCGGAGGCGTAACGCACGTGGTAGTGCGGGACGATCCCTGCTACAGCTCGGGAGCCCCGCTGGCCATGGGCGTGCTCGCGGGGGCGGCCACCGGTGCGGCGCTGGGCTCGCTCATGTGGTCGCCCTGTTGGTTCTGAGCCCTGAGACTCAGCGCGTGGACCCTGCGCATAGTTTACTCATTGCCCCACCCCTCCACCCAAGCCCTTCCCAACTTTGGCCTCTTCCTCTCAGCCATGCGAAGCTTGGATCTCCCCCTCCTACTCCCCACCCTCAACCCCAACAAGGGAAGAAGCTACCATCCGAGGCACAAACGTTAACTAAAATCCTTGTCTCTACTGCCAGACACCCCAGAAATCCATTATAGACTCATGGATATATTTGCCCCAAACACAACAGGGCACAAAAAACAACAACTGTGGCTTCAAGTTTCCCAGGTGCTGGAGACACAGAAGTCAGGTTCTTCCTGTGGTGGCTCCAGGCCTGGTGGGGGAAACAGCTGTACACACTTGACAATGCAGAGCTATCAGTCCTTTGACAGTAAGAGGGCAGAGAGTGAGGAATGCAGGCTAGAAGTAAGGTTGTTGGCCAGAGTGCAGAGCCATGACCATCATGGCATATAAAAGTTGGGGGGGGGGGGGAGGCAGGGGTCAGATCATTATACCCCTCTAGGTTAAGAAGGTTGCTGAGTAAGGGGGAGATGTGAGGTTTCTTTAGAGGAAGTTTCATAATAAATGAATATATTGCCTGTTGTTTATTAACACATACCAAACCCAAAACACTGTACATTTAGCCCCATCCTTCCCACTACCAGCTTACTGGGTTCCCTGTTCCTTCAGTGTCCAGAAAACACCCGTTTCCCACCTGTTTGGGACCTCCAGCCCTAGGATCCTCCATCAGGAAATGCATTTCTGCTCCCCAGAGGCTTGGCCCTGTGCCCACAGCTGTGGCTATCACCTTCTTAGGGTTTGTCTCCTCCTTCACTCTGGGGAAGATGGCAGTGTTCACTTCTGGGGCATAATCTACCTTTGTCTCAGCTCAGAAGGCCCCCCACATGTGCCTCCCTGCTGGTTGTCCAGTAGTCTCCCCATTTGGTCTCCTTCCAGTCTCCTGTCCCAATCACCACAGAAATGCTAATGTTCCTGCCCAGTAGCCAGAGTAGCCTGCAAAAGTTCCCCTGTACATAGGGGCTCCAGTGCCCTGCTGCAGAGACTAATAAAGATGTGTTGGCTCTAGCCCTGGCTCTGGCTCTGTTTGTTCTCCCTGGGCCCTGTCCCCCTAGGGACCCTAGGGCCTAGGTCATCTCCATGACTCAGCACCTACGAGTGCTTTCTCTGGTGTAGTGAGAAGTGTGGGTTCTGAGGTCAGGTAGAACTCGTGAGAGCATGTTAGCTGAGCAGTTTGGGGCAAATAACAACCTTTCTGAATCTTGCTTTCCCTCCCCCGCCCATAAGGTAGCAAGCTGAAGTTGGCTATCCCTGAGGGCTCAAGAGAGAGGCTATTATCAGGGTGTCTGTCATCTGAGCTAATGGGTGAGCCTGCTTTCTGAGAGTTCTGTAGTGTTGGGGTCTTTCCCAATACGTTCTCGTCTTTCTACAGTGAGTTGGTCCCAGAGACCAGGTTGTCAGGGAAGGAAATACAACCATCTTGCATCAGGCCTTTTGAGGCTGCAGGTGATCTGGGAAAGATGGTCTAAAACAACAGGGCTCTGAGAAGGGATGGGTGGTGTCTGAAAGGAAAGTTAGGGCACTGCTCCCAGAAGTAGGATAAACAGATGTGAGATGGATGGCAAAAACCTCAGGTGTCCACTTCAGCCATATTCCCAGATACATCAACTGAGAGGAGGGAGACGTTAACATCGATTCAATGAGAGAGGAACACGGTGCCTCTGAGGAGGAGGTATCCAACTCTAAGGGAACTGGGGAAAGCTTTGGGAGAGGAAGTAAAAATTCTGGGTGAACCTTGCAGGATGAGTAAGAGCTTGCCAAGTACAGAAGGGAGAGCTTTCCACACAGAAAGAACAGATGGAAGAAATGGCATGAACAAAGGCCTTGGAACACATTGGCCTTGAGAGCACTATGAAGTTCAGAAAACAGTCTGATGTCACAGCAAGTTGTATGGTGAGAGGGGTTGGTGAATGTGGCCAGGTTATAAAGAACCTCCCACAACTGGGTTTAAGGGCTCTTTTCTTTGTGCCTCTACAGCTTCAGGGTTACCATTTGCCATCATCCTGATAACACTATGGTTCTTAACACTCACCCCACTGTACAGGGCAAGAGGGATGCAAATGGATGCTCCAAATGCAGTTCGCTTCAAAATCTCTCCACTAACAGTATTGCAGCATGAATTTTTATCTTCCAGCTGTCCAACAATTATAAAATTACTAGAGGCCCAGTGCACAAATTCACGCACAGGTGGGGTCCCTCTGCCTGGCCGGCGATCGGGGCCATCTCGCCCAGTCCTGCTCAGGGCCGATCGGGGTGGCCGGCTGGGAGGAGGAACCACAGGAGGCTGGCTGTGGGAGTGCACTGACCACCAGGGGGCAGCTCCTGCATTGAGTGTCTGTCCCCTGGTGGTCAGTGTGCGTCATAGCTACCAGCCGGCCAGCCTTAACAGTCGCTTAGGTTTTTATATATATAAACTAGAGGCCTGGTGCACAAACATTTGTGCACTGGGAGGGGGCGTCCCTCAGCCAGGCCTGCACCTCTCTCAGTCCAGGACCCCTCGGGGATGTCCACTTGCTGGCTTAGGCCCGCTCCCCGGGGAATTGGGCCTAAGCTGGCAGTCAGACATCCCTCTGGCAGCCCAGGAGCCCTTGGGGGATGTCCAACTGACAGCTTAGGCCAGTGGGCCTGAGCCGCAGTAGGACATCCTTAGCACTGTCAAGAAGGTGGGAGAGGCTCCCAACACTGCCACTGGGCTCGCAGCTGTCAGCCCGGCTTGTGGCTGAGTGGAGCTCCCCCTGTGGGAGCACACCAACCACCAGGGGGCAGCTTCTGCATTGAGTGTCTGCACCCTGGTGGTTAGTGCATGTCATAGCAACCCATTGTTCCGCCATTAGGGTCAATTTGCATATTACCATTTTATTATATAGGGTTCTTGAAGAGAAACATTAACCCTCACAGACAACACAGTCTAATCTGGAGGTGCCCCATGAACCACATCTGGCTCACCCATTTGTTTGGTCAGCACAGTATTTTTACCGATTTTTAAATTAAAATGTGATACCACTATACACCCACCTAAATTTCTAAAGGTGAAAAAGGCAACATTAAATACTGATATATTTTTATTGATTTCAGAGAGGAAGGGAGAGGGAGAGAGAGATAGAAACATCAATAATGAGAGAGAATCATTGATCGGCTGCCTCTGGCACACCCCTTATGGGGATTAAGCCCACAACCTAGGCATGTGCCCTTGACTGGAATCGAACCTGGGGCTCTTCAGTCCGCAGGCCGACACTCTACCCACTGAGCTAATCCGGCTAGGGCTTAAACTACTTTTCTTAATACATCCTATTATTGCCTCCATCAGTGGCCCTGTTTTTCAAGTTGCAGCCACTCTCCCTCACTTTTTGTTGTTTTATTTTCCTGGATTCTATGTTCCCCTTTATAGTTCTAGAGAAGAAGTAGAAGCACATGTTAATTTACAACCTTGGCAGGAATGGGAAACCAAGTCAATAATTGTTTTCTTTTGTATTTTATTTATATATTTTTGGCAGCAAAATTGTGTTTATTTAAAAAAAAATCTGGTCTATGAATACATTTTACTGCTTCAGTTGAAGAACCCTAAGCTAAATCAAAATACCAATATTAAAAGCAGCATACTGGTTACTACTGTCTTAAAGATACATAAAAAGAATCAAATGCTACAGTGTAGGAAATCAATCACCCCCATGTCAGAAATCACAACTTCTTTCAAATAAAGAATATGACCCATTTGCCATATTGAATTGATATTTATTTCAGGACATGCCATGTCAAAATAAAACAAAAGAGTCAACCCTTGCCTTTAACAATAATATTGTATTATAAAAGCACTTTACAACTCCATCCCATCTTTGAGTATAAGTTACTGGTATGTGGGCTAATGATTATCTTAAAACATTTCTCTATTCAGACCCTTTATCAAGTGCTCTCTGAATATTAGAAGGTGATAATAAATGGGAAGTGGAGGAGGAAGAGGGAAGAGAGGGGAATAAGGTTCTCCCAGTTAAGGGTTTTATTGTAATGAGGGGATGAGGAAGTATGAAGATACTTTTGTTTTTTTCCATTTTTATACTGTGTTAAGTAATGCTTACAACATAAATTCAGCAGGCTTTTCCTGAGCCATAACTCAGAAAATTTCTTCCTGCAAATAATGTATTTACAAACGTGTTTAACTTACACAGCAATCTCACAATAACTAGTAAAGATTGAAATGGTGCACTCCTAGTATATTTGTTTGCAGTGTTTTAAGGGAAATACATATTGCCATGGTGATGAAGCTCTAAATAGATTAAACAAAACATCTAATAATTAAAAGTAGTTTTAATAAAGGCAAAGAAATAAATATCACCAAAGAAAGAAGATTAATTGTAGCTTAAATATAAAACTAAATTACTAGTTAATTAACCAAACTATACAATAGATCTAATAAAAAGCAAAACCAGCCTGAAAGACCCAACATTTAAAAAAGCTAAAAAATAAGGCATAAATCTGCAATAATATTGAGTTTTATTTCCATTCTCTCTTATCCTCTTCTGTGTATGCTTTTCCAGATCTGCCTCTAGGGGCTTATTAAGAAAACCTGCCATTTTCAATCTGACCCCAAATATCCTGAGCAAAGTATTTGCTATTCTGTTAAGGATTCTTTTGTTGGTAAGCTTTAGATATCATCATTTCTACTGGATATAGTAGTTTTGACCAAGGTGCCAAATTTAAATTCTTCCACTGGTTCTTAAAGGAATTTTATTTCTATAGTGCCTTGCCTGCACAGCATTAAAAAACAAAACAAAACAGGAGAAATCTATTGCTTAAAAAAATTCTTTTAAATAAACAGAAGAACTCTATTCTGACAATTTTAGAATCTTGGAAGAGACAGTTCATTAGAAAAATGAAATATAAAAAAACCTGTTCTGTTTTACTTTTCTCTCCCAGAATCTAACATGTGAAAGGGTCATTAGTTTTGGTCAGAAATAAATTTTTTGTTCATTACTTGTAAGTACTATGTTCATTAGGACTCATTTTAAGATGCACCAGAACACTTATTTGAGTACTGCCTACCATGATAATTGAGTTTTGACCTCAAATAAAGTCTAAATAATTTACTTCAGTGCTCAAGAATAATTTTGGACATCTTGACCCAAGGCCTAAAACAAGTGGTATCACTAAAACTTAAAGATAATTCCAATGGGCTTGGTCTGACTGATGCTTTGCCACCTCTTGTTTGTTTTTAGGAGTGGAGAGTAAGAATAGGAAATGGGTAAGGGAGAGATGAAAAAAGCAGGGAGAGGTCAAGTAGGTAGGCAAATGCTGCTGTGAACAGCTATTCCTTAACCAAGCCACATACTGTTGAGATTTCCATCATTTTGAAGTGCATTATCATAACATTAAAAAGGAAAAAAAAGTTAAGAAACTGTATCTAATGTTTAAAATGATCACTGGAATATGCTGGAATTGTCTGACTTTTTGTAAAATATAAATAATATAGACACTGACTTTTTTGTGCTTGTGAAGCTAATAGATCATCTCCACGAGACAGGCAGCAATGATGAATTGCAATACGTTATTACTGAAGGGAAAAGGTTCAAGCCAATATTCACACTGCAGTCAATGAAAGAGTAAGGGGGCCAAAGCAGTGAGCTTCTGGAGAAAAGTTGAAGAGGCCAAGAGGGATTAGCAGGAACAGCCTCCTTCGCTGACTGGTTGATCCTGAGGCTTTTCCAGTTTTATGTCAATCACTGAAACAAAAGTTAAGGACCTATAAATGGGAAAGTACAATTCCAATTCTGCTCAACACTGATATCTCTGGCAACCCCTCCCTTCCATTCCTACTAACAGACACTACTTTCTATTTAGCTAGCTCACCATACAACAAAGTGCTCTAATAATATAAACTTGCTTATATTCTACTATATGCAGCCAGGGTCAGAATAAGGTTAACCTCTCTATTCATGGGATTTATCCTAAGGAAACTGTTCTACAGGAGCAAGAAACCCTATTAAGATGATGTTCCTTATGGAATTATCTATAATAAAAATCTGAAACTAGCCTACAAGAGAGTTCCAACAACAGGGAGAGAATTTAATAAATGATGGGGACTTAATTCTGTGGAATACATTATGCTATTAGAAGTAATAATGGCTTAGAAAACATGAAACCTTTAGAAGAGGGATGCGCTGAACACAAAGTGCTTAAATTCTATGGCTTAATAAAAATGTCTGTATATGGAAAAACACTAGAAAATAAATATACAACAAATAATGAAAATATCAAAATTCAAAATCTTTTGAAAAAAATTGCTATTTGATGTGCTTCATTATGTTCTGTTTCTGAAAGCAGAAGCCACAATAAAGTTCCAAACAGAGTTATTTCCTGCCTAGGCCAAATAGAAAACTTGAATGTTAGAAAAAGCAGGGGAGGAAAATATGATACATACTATGGGGTAAATGTACAGAGTCAATAGGAGTAAAATTTAAGAAGGCTGGGCCCTGGCCGGATGGCTCAGTTGGTTGCAGCATCTTCCCGTACACCAAAAGGTTGCAGGTTCGATCCCCAGTTAGGGCATATATGGGAGGCAACCAATCGATGTTTTTCTTTCTCTTTCTCTCTCTCCCTCCCTTGCTCTCTAAAAATCAATAAAAAAACATATCCTTGGGTGAGGCTCAAAAAAGAAAAAACTGGATTTCTAAGAGTTCCCTGCTCATTAAAAATCAAGCAAGACTGTGGAATCTCAGGGGGGAGGTAGGGGAGAGTGGGTGGGTAGGAAAAGTTCAACCAAAGGACTTGTATGCATATATGCATAACCCATGGACACAGACAATAGGGTGGTGAAAGCCTAGGGTGGGGCTGGGATAGAAGGGGTCAATGGGGGAGAAAAAGGGACATATGTTAACACTATAAACAATAAAGATTAAAAATAAATAACCAAGCAAACGAATACAAATTCTCTCACTGATTAGTTGTAGTGAACAGCAGGGAGCAAGTTTGCACTTGGATAACCAGATCTCATCCTATATAATAAAAGCCTAATATGCAAATTGTCCCCTCAACCGGGAGTCCTGTCAGGAGTTCGACCGCTTGCTATGATGTGCACTGACCACCAGGGGGTGGCGTGGAACATGGAGGATGTTGGCGATGCCATGCTGGCAGCGGGCCCCGATGGGTCCCAACGAGAGCGGGACCGGGGCGGATGATGGAGCACGTGAGTGGGAGGCGCCAGGCCAAGGCGGGTGTGAGCCACTGGTCACCAGGTGGGGGCCCGATCGCCCTGCCACCGCTGGGCTCCCAGGTGCTGAGGGAGCCAGGTGAGGACCCGATGCCGATCTGATTCCAGGGCAACCAGCAGCGGTGGTGCCGCCTGGCTCACTCAGCACCTGGGAGCTGGACGGTGGCAGGGTGATTGGCAGGGCAATTTGGCCCCCGCAGGCGGTGACCAGGAGGGGTGGTGGGGCTGCTGCCCTGCTCCCTCATCACCTGGGAGCTGGGCGGCAGTGGGGACAATAGGGTGCGATCAGGTCCCGCAGGCGGCGACCAGCCAGGGTGGCAGGTGGCAGGGCCTGGCTCCCAGGTGCTGAGGGAGAAAGGGCAAATAGCAATATTAAAATATTTTTTCTGCCCTAACCGGTTTGGCTCAGCGGATAGAGCGTCGGCCTGCGGACTCAAGGGTTCCAGGTTCGATTCCGGTCAAGGGCATGTACCTTGGTTGCGGGCACATCCCCAGTGGGGAGTGTGCAGGAGGCAGCTGATCGATGTTTCTCTCTCATCAATGTTTCTAACTCTCTATCCCTCTCCCTTCCTCTCTGTAAAAATCAATAAAATATATTTAAAAAAATATTTTTTCTAATTATTTTCCTTTCAATGTGCACAAATCCATGCACCGGGCTACTAGTTTTGCTATAAAAAAACCTCATAGCTTCTATGCTCTTCAACCATCAATTTCTGACTATAAAAAGCAATGCCATAATATTCCTTAGCCAACCAAGTGGAGCTGTCAAGACTAGTGATAACAACAACGTTCTCTGATGAAACAGAAAGGATACTGTCTTCTCTGCTTCTGTCCTGTGTGCTTTCCATTCCAGGCAAAGCTGCTGCAACACGTCGGAAGAGCTGTGGAAAAGAGAGAAATGTGATAATTGGCAGGGAAAATTTAACAAATGGCATCAAGTAAAGGTGGATGACTACTGAATGCTGTGTTCAAGGATATAGCTTCTAGGTTATTCCTCATGTAGATCTTACCATGATGAAAGCATTTTACAATATCTATTTAGCCCAGCCAGCATGGCTCAGTGGTTAAATATCGACCTATGAACCAGGAGGTCACAGTTCGATTCCCAGTCAGGGTACATGCCTGTGTTGTGGGCTCGATCCCCAGTGTGGGGCGTGCAGGAGGCAGCTGATCAATGATTCTCTCTCATCATTGATGTTTCTATCTCTCTCTCCCTCTCCCTTCCTCTCTGAAACCAATAAAAATATATTTAAATAAGTAAATAAATAAAATGTCTATTTAATACTGTATGAAAAGCAGTATGCCAAATACAATGAGGTATAAAGACATGATCCCTGTTTTCCAACTGATGAGATTAGACATGAACAAACGGCTAAGAAATAAGCAGCAAAAATGTCATTTGAGTCATAAATGACATACTATAGCAGTGATGGCGAACCTATGACGCGTGTCAGAGGTGACACGCGAACTCATTTTTTTGGTTGATTTTTCTTTGTTAAATGGCACTTAAATATATAAAATAAATATCAAAAATATAAGTCTTTGTTCTACTATGGTTGCAAATATCAAAAAATTTCTAGGAGAAACCAAGATGGTGGCATAGGTAAACAACGGAAATTGCTGCCTCCCACAACAACTTCAAAAATGCAACTAAAAGACAAAACGGACATCACCCAGAACTACAGGAAGGCTGGCTGAGTGGAAATTCTACAACTAGAAGGAAAGAGAAAAGCACACTGAGACTCAGAGGAG